TTCTTCAGATGTCCCATGATCCTTGATTGTCTAAAAAAACCAAATGGAAGACATGACCCATGAAAAGGGCTTATCCACTGAGGGTTTCCCTGTAGAGTTATCTGGCTGGGTTGTTTCATCTGGGAACCCCCAGTGTCAGAATCTTTAGGTAATTCCTCCGGGATGGTCATGCTCCCTGGAGGAGGAGCTTCCCATTTATTGCCTGGAGGGAGAGGGCCTGGCTTCTGGCATTCTAGGAACTGGGTAGGGGAGAAGGCTGGGACTCTCAGTTTCAGAACCGGGCCCATACTCTGCACTGTGCCTGGGGATAAACTTCCAGTCTCCTTTCAGAGGGAGGGAGGGGGCACTTGGGGAGGGAGAGGAGGATGGTACCCAACTTTTCATGAACAGACTTCCAACAATCCTCCTCTTTTTGGCACCACCTTTTCCCCCACCCAGTTGCCTAACACCTCAATCCCTGAAGCTGTTCTGCCGTGTAAATAGGGGGCTTCTCAGCTTTTCTAGCTGCAAGTTTAGGATTCTGCTTTCTGGGGTCTGCTAAGGGAGTTACCTCTAGTTCATCTGCTTTCCAGCTTCCAAAATTCTGCTGCTGTTTTTTTTTTTTTTTTAATAATTTTATTTTATTTTTTCCCCCAAAGCCCCAGTAGATAGTTGTATGACATAGCTGCACATCCTTCCAGTTGCTGTATGTGGGACGCGGCCTCAGCATGGCCAGAGAAGCAGCACGTTGGTGCACGCCCGGGATCCGAACCCGGGCCGCCAGCAGCTGAGCGCGCGCACTTAACCGCTAAGCCATGGGGCCGGCCCTCTGCTGCTGTTTTTGCTTCCTCTGTTTTCTTTGTCCTTATAGATTTATACTTTAAAAAATTCCAAAAAACTCTCTGTCATTTTAGTGACAGAACCAAGTGAGAGAGGAAGCAAAGGTATATGTGTGTTCTAGCCATCTTTACCAAGAAATCTTTTTTTTTTTTTTTGTGAGGAAGATTAGCCCTGAGCTAACAACCGAGGCCAATCCTCCTCTTTTTGCTGAGGAAGACTGGCCCTGGGCTAACATCCATGCCCATCCTCCTCTACTTTATATGGGACGCCGCCACAGCATGGCTTGATAAGTGGTGCGTCGGTGTGCACCCGGATCCGAACCTGTGAACCTCGCGCAGTCACAGCGGAGCACGCGGTCTTAACCACTATGCCACCGGGCCGGCCCCCAAAGAAATCTTTTTTTAAATTGAGCTATAATTCACGTACAATAATATTCAAGCTTTTAAAATTGTACTATTCAATGGTTTTCTGTATATCTACAAGGTTGTGCAATCATCACCACTGTCTAATTCCAGAATATTTTCATCACCCCAAAAGGAAACCCCATACCTGTTAGCAATCATTACCCATCCCCTTCTCCCCCCAGCCCCTGGCAACCACTAATCTACTTTCTGTCTAAAATAGGATTTGCCTATTCTAGACATTTGACATAAATGGAGTCATACAATATGTAGCTTTTTGTGTCTGGTTTATTTCATTTAGCATAATGTTTTCAAAATTCATCTGTCTTGTGGCATGAATCAGTACTTCATTCCTTTTTTAAAAAACAACAGTTTTATTGAGGTATTAATTCCTATTTATGGGTAAACAATATTCCATTGTATGGATATACTACATTTTGTTTACCCACTCATCAGTTGATGGATATTTGGGTTGTTTTCGCTTTGGGCTATTATGAATAATGGTGCTATGAACGTATGTGTACAAGTTTTTGTGTGGAGGTATGTTTTCATTTCTCTTGTGTAGATATCTAGGAGTGGAATTACTGGGTCATATGGTAACTCTCTGTTTAACCTTTTGAGAAATTGCCAAATTGTTTTCCAAAGTAGCCACACCATTTTACATTCCCACCAGCAATACATGAGAGTTTCAATTTCTCCACAACGTTCTCCACACTTGTTATTATCTGTCTTTTTGATTATAGCCATCATAGTAGGTGTGAAGTGGTACCTCATTGTGGCTTTGGTTTGCATTTCCCTAATGATTAATGATATGGAGCATCTTTTCATGTGCTTATTGACCATTTGCATATCTTCTTTGGAGAAAAGTCTATTCAAATCCTTTGTTTGACATTGGGTTGTCTTTTATTGTTGAGTTGTAATAGCTCTTTATATATTTTGGACATTAGATCCTTATCAGATATATAATTTTTAAATATTTTATTCTGTTTTGTGGGCTGACTTTTTACTTTCTTGATAGTGTCCTTTGAGGCACAACTTACTATTTTTCTTTGTTGCTTGTGTTTTAAGAAGACTTTTTAAAAAGTCTTATTTTCTAAATAGCTTTATTGAGGCATAATTGATACACAATAAACTTTACTTATTTAAAATGTACAATTTGGTAAGCTTTGACATATGCATACATGTGAAAGCAGCTCCACAATCAAGATGATGAGCATAGGGCCGGCCCCATGGCTTAGCGGTTGGGTGCTCGTGCTCCACTGCTGGCGGCCCGGGTTCGGATCCTGGGCGTGCACGGACACACCGCTGCTGAGGCCGCGTCCCACATACAGCAACTAGAAGGATGTGCAGCTATGACATACAACTATCTACTGGGGCTTTGG